GTCAAGGGGAAGGGACTGCCCCAACTACACCCAGCATTGGAAATGGGCCCAGGGACTCTTGGCCCCATATTCCTACGATGAGTAGGAGGGTCCTCGATGCCCACCTGCGTCGACGCATCCTCATCGCGAGCAGATGATTAGCTGGACCTCGACTTTGTACGGAGGAAGAGAGGCGCCCACTTAATGTTTCTTTGTTTAACCTTTTTTTGTATCACGATATTTCCCTTTTCTTTGACGTTGACGATAATAAAGTCTTATAATAAGTTTCGGCTTTTCCTTATTACCGAGAGAGAGAGAGTCTTCCTTTCGAGCTGGTACCCCGTACTCAGCGTCTGGGCCGGGGGGATATAACGAGGGAGATTGCCAACCCGTTATATCTCTCTCTCCCTAGTAATGATATGTAAATGTAACCTATTTCTCCGAACTTATCCTATATATATTTATGAATTTATTATGTTTATATTCATCTATCAATTATTATTAATATATTTGTATATGTAGTCACTTTTCGGCTCGAATATAAGGTAAGAGAGAGAGAGAGAGATGCGAGTACGCAGGGATACTTCCGCGCGCGACCACGAGGCGCGGAGAGAGAGAGAGAGAGAGAGACATAGTCGCGCTTTAGCGAGTGACCGCGGGCACTAATCGACGAGAGGCAGAGCAGAACGAAATCGAGAGTCGAGCAAGTATCACGCTAAAGAGTTGTCATCGTGCGGATTTGTCAGCGGACGAGTGGATTCTTTTGTCTCGACGACTTTCCTTGCTGAGATCTTGGTTGTGACCTAGTGTTTCCCTCTTCTGCAATCTCGAAGCTGTGGCCTTTATCCGGAGAGGAGTTGCGACGTCGCCCGGCCCTGCAGAAGATCTACGCTTGTGCGCTGTAGCTGTTAAAGCGGGAGATCGTCAAGAGGAAACGAGCCGCGGAGTGCACGTGGTGCCCGATAACTTGTGCGCGCGCGTTTACGCAAACTGTGCGACTCGTTTACGTACCTAGAGGACGAGTACCGTCATTGTAAGTACCTGCTAGTTGGTTTACTCTCTCTCTATCCGTTCTCTCGGCGTACTCTCTCCCTCCTCCCGACCGCTTTTTGTTAACCTCTATTGATTAAAAACACTGTTTACCATTAGCCTCTTTTTTTTATTTAATCGTACACCGACGCCTTATTCAAACGCTTCCCCCTTTCGCGCCTACACCCGCTTTCGAATCATCGGCTTTCGCGTCCTTCAGTCAACACCACGAATCTGCGCGGATCCGGCCGTCCTGTCACCGGCGTAACGAACACCGGACCTGAGAAGACGGACAGTCCTGGAGGCTTCAGACTTCGCCCGGACATTCCTAATCTAACCTTAGTTATTTCCTTTCTTTATATTGACGGGGCTAACCGGGCTAAATCCCCGTTATAATAGATATTTATATGCTTATAAATATAAAATATTTTGTATTTAGTTGCATATGATTTGCTATTGATTATATTATTTATAAAAATTTAATGTGATGAAGGTGAAAAATGTCATTTATTTTTAGAGCAGGTGACGTGTACAACCGATAACGTATAAGCTCATCAATGGCTCTCAACTAACTGACTGACTGATGCAACAGTTATCGTGTGTTAAAAATTGTCCAAAAATAAGAAAAACTATGCAAGTGCCGACAGGAAAGTAAATGATAGCTACAGTCGTAAAATTGTAGACTTGGGTTGATGGCGAAATATTGATCGAAAACAACACGTGCTACCCATAATATATCTCTCAAATTGTGTGAACTACGTAAAATCTAGTTTTAGTAATATGCAGATGTTTATTGAAAGAACAAGACAATGTAAAATAATGATGTGTTATGGTACTTGCTTACTCTTAATAAGAATTATTATGATTAATATTTAAGTTCCAAAAAATCTTTTTTAAACGAGCTTCAATTATAATACTTATATTTTCAATATTAAATGCTTAGAAATATTAAATGATATAGTAAAAAATAATTTTGATCAACTTGAATGAGGTGTAGTAAGAAACTATATAATATGTTGAATGTTTGGTCTTATACAAAAAGGATTTTCGATCGAAACAGCGATGGTTATATGGTAACATCCATTTATATAAAAAGAAAGCGACTACCTTCTGAATAGTTGACAAGAAAGTGTGTCACAGATCTAACGGAATCAGAGATGGACTTGTTGCGAAGAGAAATACAGGCTATTCGTAGTTCAGCCCTATCGGATAGAAATATCGTTAACAAGAGTATATCTCTATGGATTCAAGAAGAGAACAAAGAAGATTAGTTTATATAGAGACCGTACACGAAAAAATCACCGGTATACGAATGGAAAAACATGCATAAGGCGCAATACTCTAAAAGCTAGTTAAGATTTAATACATAAAAAAACCAAATTTTGTACACAAAACTTAGTAACCGTGCAAGAGGAAGAGTAGTTAGAGAGAGAGAGAGAGAGAGAGAGAATCAAAATAACGTTTGCTACCCATTAACTACACAAATTCATCGGCGCATGCAATATAAAACCAATTCAGTAAAATTTAATTTTACGTTACATTAGCGCTATACGTAGTCAACAATGTCACCACTAGAGAGAGAAAGAGAGAGAGAGAGAAAGAAAGAGAGAAAGGTAATCAGGGCTCGAGTCACTGGGTTGTCGCTGCAGGTACCACTGTCAATGCGCTAGCTGAGCTACATCCGCAGAACATCGTTTCAGATAATAAGGCACTATTTGTTAACTAGTTATGCCGGGTTTTGAGGCTTTTCAAGTTAACTAAAAGTTACGATTCTAAAAACGAAATAAGGTGGTGGTTGTATAGATAGTACACTTCTGAATTCATGCGCTATACGTGCGCTATCCTGTACCATGCTAGATAACACAGATATATTGATCACATTTAATTTTGGCTATCTGGTGATTAAAACAGGAATCTACCAGTTGCCTAATTGAACGTAATGATCGTGGATGAGATTTCCATTAATTCCATTAATTTTTTAATTTTCAGTTTAATTTCCATTAATTTTTCCATTAATTAGAGGAAGGGTTTCTACCCTTATGAAATTGGTAAGCCAACGAAAAGAACCGAAAATAGCTTTATTCAACATTCTCAATATAACCGAAGACCATAAGTCCTTATATCAAGAGGCCACAGCTCTCGAAACTTCGCAACAAAACGTGGTGATGAGTGATATGATCTACACTTTTTTGATTGAGAGTTAGTATTAGATTGGTATTTTGATCCCCACCACGAAGATTTTGCATCGGCATCGTTTAATCGTTTTCAGCAATTATGACTGGTTTTAAGGATAATGATATTTGCATATGTAGATAACTTTATTTTACATTTTACTTGAAAATTATATGAAAACACTACTACAAGTTTTTCAGATTATCAAGGAGATTATCAACAATATTAATTTTTTCGATGTCTGTTCAGAATGACCGCTGTAAAACGAGTGACAGCTATGGATATAACAAGCATTGAAAATAAATACTGTTCTTTGAGAAAAACACTCATATAATTATTGCAACGATTACCGAAAATCGTAGACTCGCGCGAGGTTAACGAGCGGCTAAGCGAGAGGAGCCGCGTTCGGTCCGCGGGAGAGAGAGAGAGCGCGTAAGGGGCGATGACCGGGAGGGGAGGCTCCGATCGTCAGTATGACTGTGCTACTCAGTCCGTCAGCGTCGCGCTAACCTCCAACCTCCCGAGTTTTGTGTTTTGCCATTGACATTGTGACTGGAGTGCGTGGGTGGGTGTGCAGCAGCAGCAGCAGCAATAGCAGTAGCAGCAACTGCAGTAGCAGCAACAGCAGCAGCATCAACAGCAGCAACATCAGTGGCGACAACAACAACAGCAGCGACAGCAATAGAAGCGGTGCAGCAAGCAGCGGATCAGTCGATTAACAGCGTGTTTGTCGGATACGGTTGGCCACCGTATCCTCATCGTTCTCGCGGTAGGTGCACCTTCTTCCCTTGTTTAATTATTGTCATAATTTGCGTGCGAATCCGCGCAGCGAGCGCGAAGAATTTGTTTATTGCGTGCGAGCAGGTAGTTCGCGGGAATCGCGGTTTTCTCTCTCTCTCGCAATTTGCGTGTCTTGACATTCACGCGTGCGTGCGTAAGTCTCTCGGCCAATTCCCCGTGTAGGTTAATTGCAGTAATAAAGTGCATTTTTACCGTTTCTACCGAATCAAAGAGTCGTTTTTGTGTCTTTCCTTTGTCCGGAGGTCGCGCCCGTGTTTATTTACATTCGTTTCGAATTCGCCGATTGCGTTGCACGAACCGTGCGAGTGCAGGTAGACGCGGATCTTCAACTTAGGTTCCAGTGGCGGCCGTTCGAGCGCTACTAACAAGGGGCGACAGCGCCGCCAAGTGGTGAGTTGGGGAACCCAACTCGGAACGGTGAAGAGACTCTGCGCAGGCGCACTTCGAGGCAAGGTAGGTTACTGTGCCTGGTGCAACAAGGGGTCGTTTAGTCGCAATTAAAGGTACGTCTGCAGGATCATAGACTAAACGGCAGCCTGTTACATTATTAATTTGATTAAAAAATATTTTTAAATGAGTGCTTTAGATAGTAGATAAAAAAAATAAAAGCTTTTTCTATTTTTATTGCCATTTTTTTAAACAGGCTGAGCTATTTAAAATTTCGTAATTTTTGTTTTGATTTTACCTCGCTATATATAAAAAAAATATCTAACCCTAAAACATTATTAAAAAAGACTTGGACAAATCTTTAAAACAAAATAATATAAATCTTTAAACAAAAATTTAAAATTTTTGTTTAAAGATTTATTTAAAATTTTAAATTTTTGTTTAAAAACAAACATGGACAAAGATTATTGGTTAGGAATAAATATGTGACAGCTCTGTTACCGATATTTTTTTTGTGTACGGTTGTAATTTTTTAGCTTCTTGCAAGGGCATAGAAACTGTGATTTGGATCATTACAAAAATGAGCCGATTTTAAGCTAGAATCATTCTTATTAAAAATAAAATACTGATACCCTATTAGAAAATGCCCACAAATAGCCCGTCATTGTAGCTACGACAATTCCTTCGTAACTCAAGGTTGTCAATGCCATAGCAGGCGATGGTAATGTTTCCCAATGTTGAAATTTACTTGATCGTTTGACTGCTCCTATTTTACCCTCACGTCCAGCAAATACTATTTGCCCATCCCCTGTCCATAATCCAGTTGTAGCCAGTGCCACAGGTGGCCAATCTATAATATGCCTTTCAACAACAAAAAAAGCCCTGTAAAAAAAGCGAAAGTTTTATTAAATCTATATCGTAATAAACCAAACATACGAATTCGAACCTGTGATCCATTATAAGTATTTCTCCATATTCGGTGCCAACGACAAGATAACTGCAAGCAGTGTTAGTCCAAGAATCTTTTCTTATTGTACCGATGATGGAAATGGCGTTTGATTTGATAATTGGAAGATGCCAGTATTTTTTAGCAAATGATTCTTGGACATCTTCTTTAAGAGACAGAAGTTTTAAAGTTCGAGATGATAAATTTACAGCACAAAGATCTTGTGACAGAAGTTTTAGATCGTCTGTGAGAGTCAGTACGTTCAATTCTTCTTCTAAGCTGGCCTTATACCATATCTATTTAACAGATTCAGAAAACATTATTCTATGATTACTAATAAGATCTTACAGTAATTAAATAGATAGAATCAATTTCGGATAAAAATTTGACATACTGAATGATAATATTAAAAATATCGTTGGTAAATTAAAATTTCTAATAAACTGGAATGCTTCTACTATATATAAAATTATAATACAAAGAGAAGATTGAGAACCCTTTTGTTCAAGAAGAACAGCGATAAAACATTCATGTTCTAAACCTATAGACTATTTATTTAATAGTGTGCTTTCAGAATATCTTAACCTAAAAGTCCAATAACAGCGTTTTTTACCTCTTTACGTATGTACGTTATGTAGCACCTCATTTTATTTCTTTGTTTCAAAAATTATAAACATTACTTTAAAGTAGAAGTCTTACCCTTTTAAATGCTCTTGAGTTTGCTTAAATATTTTTTTTTTGCTGAGATATCGTATTTTGAAATTTCGGAAAAGAGGGTATGTATTAAAAGGTAGTGATATCAAAAAAGATATCTAGGATATCCCAGCATGTATCTAAATCTTAGAAAAAGTTATAAAAATTATAATATACAAATCCAAAATCCTGAAGCTATAAACCCCAAATTATTAAACCTCAAACCCACAAACCCACAAACCCCAAACTAAAATTTAATGGAGCTTCAGAAATCGAGATACAAGCGAACGAGCTGTTCGTCGCGATTCTTGATTTGCAACTTCTACCAATCACCTAGGAACAGTATTCAAACCTTACTAAAGAAAAAAAGCCCGCATACAGAGAACAAACAAAGTCTTTCCGAAGGAATTTGGTGCGCTGAATTGCTCCATCACTCTCAGTTTTTGAGGTATCTTAACCTAAAAGCGTAAAAAAACATTTTTTGCCGGTTTTCAAACTCTGTAACTAGTGTATCTCTCTCCTCCCCCCCTCTCTCGCTCTTTTAGCCCCCGTCCCTCCCCTACACCTCCCTCTTTCTCCTCCTCCTGCCACTACCCTCCCTCTTTCCCTCCCCCATGATACATTGAAGTATGACACATTTGCAATTTTACAAATATTGTTTAAACAGAAGAAACTTTCGTTGAAAGATAACAATGGTAAACCTAGCTAGGTACAGTATTAGGGTTAAGGAACTTGAGATATAGTAGTCGGAGGTTATTACAGGGTACAGGGATCTTGGGTTAAAGTTATTGCGATATAGCAGACTGAGGTTCCTGCCTAAAAGGCTACATAGTTCTTTGGTTACAGAATATGGGATGTAGTAGTCGGGGGTTAGTGCATAACCGGGTATGGGGGTTTTTAGTTAAATCACTTAGGATTATATTTTATTTTTTAGTGAAGATTATTTTTAAACAAAACTTTTTTCTGCTTGAACATCTGCGAAAATGCCAATTTATCCTATTTCAATTTATTATATCGAAAAAAAATTTTTTATTATTACCCTAAATTTATTTACAGTCTGTCTCACATATAGAGACAATAAGCAAATGTTAATATTATATATATATATATATATATATATATATATATATATATGTAAAAACAGCAGTATACTCGAGTAAATATACTGTCTTTGTTTTACAGTATGATTGGAATAATTATGTTAATTTATTTGCGCATTCATTAGCTTATGTTTTTTCAGTCTGGTATTGGCAATGGATGCCTTGAGAAGTTTGTTGACAAGTTTATTTAGGTGGTTTTGGTGTCTGGAATTAAATTTTGTATAGAATTTTTAATTTCTTCTTTAAGTGTAGGTATCTGTAAGTCATTTCGGATAATTTCATTCGGTACGAACTATGGGCCTATAATATATTGTGTAGGAGTTTCGATTGAAATCATTCCAGGATTGATGGTTAGGAAGAAGTTTTCTATTTAGTATTATTGGTTTAATTGTAGCTAGGAGCAGTTTTTCAAAGATCTTAGAAAGTTTTGATAAAAGATTCATCTGTCTACGAGTATATGACACTTACCACTTCTGATTCTTTATCGGGTTTAGGTATTAAGACAATCTCTGCTACTTTCCACTGAGAAAGAGAATACCAGAGACGCAAGCATGCATTAAAAACAATTGTTAGGTATCTCATTGAATTTGAGGGTAACATTTTGATCATTTTTCCTGTGATATTATCAAAACCAGGAGCTTTTCTATTCTTTTATTATCAATGGTTTGTAATACTTCTTTTATTTTAGTCGATTTGATTAGTGTACTGTCTTTGACGTCAGACCCTTTTAGTAAGATATTTTCTTTTTCTTCGGTCAATATTCTTTGGTGAAGTTTGAATATTGAGCTAAGATGATTTGTGAAAGTTTCAGCTTTTTTCTCGTCCGATCTTGCCTAGTTACCACCAGGTTTTCTAATAGTTGTATAAATATAGTTTGTCTTTTAAGTCGTTTAGTAGTTTTCCATAATGAGTATTCTGTTGCTTCTGCAGGACTCAGTTATCTCAGATAATTCTGCGTTTGTGTGTTTTTTTCTTCATATAACATTTTTTAGATCGTTGGATGATTTATTTACTTTAGTTTTGTCTTGATTCGATCTATTTACCTGATAACTTTTTCTTAATAAACTCTTTTCTTTGATTTTTTTATTATTTTAGTGGACGTGATTTGCTGTGTTTTATTTCTATTTACTGCAGTAGAGCATTTGGTAATAGTTTTAGTTAAAATTACGTTGAGTGAGTTGATGCTGCTTTCTACATTATTAACTATTTTAAGAGGAAAGTTGCACATTATGTGTTTCTTTATATAAAGAGCAGATGTTTTCTAGTCGATTTTTATTTTATTTTTTACTTTATTAAATAATTGGTGGTGTGGAGTAATTAGTATCGGTGAATGATCTGATAATAAATCTAAGCATAACGATACTTCAAAATAATTTTTGTTTATACCTTTTACTATAACAAAGTCCATAAGCTTGTTTATATTTGTAGACTAGTATGTTGGTTTTCCAGTGGATATCGGAATATAGTTATTTTTTTGTAATATTTCATAGAGTATTCTGCCCATGTATGTTGGAGTTGATGATTTTGATCCCACCACGGATGTTTCATATTATAATCGCCTTCTCCTATGAAACCGATTTCCTAGTGTGTTGAAAAAGTAAATTCAGTTTTATTTTGTACTTGTTTTGTTTGGAAAATAGTAAGCAGCTGATATTGTTATCGGTCCATTATTATCCTTGATGATTATATTGATTGCTTAAAAATAGATTTCACTAGTGTAAGTATGGATGTAGTGTTTCATTTTTGTTCTGATTAAAATCACAGTACCTCCGTGTACTTTATTAAGTGGCGAATTTTTTTAATGTGCAGTGTAATTTAGTATACTAAAATAGTTTTTACTTGTAAAGTGTGTTTCTGATATCAACATGATGTCTATATTTTGATAGATTGAAAATGCTTTTAATCCAATGTGCCTCTGCACATAAGACCGTTTGCATTTCAAATAGCGAGTTTTAGACTGCTCATTATGCCACTTTCCTTACTAGTACAGTGGAAAGATTTAAAGGGAGATTCAAAAATTTAAAGATTCAAAGGGACCTAGATTTAAGAATAAAAATCTTATTAGCTGATAATAAAGCCTTTAATTGTAAACACGGCAACGACCCATATTATTGTAGGCTTATCGCATAAAATAAGCGAAAATAAAAATTACACGATATTCGAAATATAAATCGCAATATTTCCTAGCTAACTTATTCATATGCAAGCGTATGCTGCGCTAGCCACGCCCACCTGTATGTAAAGAAATTAGAAATAAAAAAGCTTAATAAATTAGACAAGGAGGGCGCATCGCATTTACTTTGACGAGGTCTAGTGAGAGATAGACTAATAGCCAAATCATATGAGAAAAGGACAGCGCTAATTAATAAAATCTCGCTACTTCGAATTGATACTGCTAAGATCTACGGCTAGGAAAAAATGATAAGAGAGGGAAGGCCGAGAGTGTGCCGACGGCTTTACGATAGACTGGACGTCTGGTTCCAGCTATCAATTTTCTGAGTTTTTATAATTAATTTGTTGTTGCAATTTTGTAAATAAAAATTAAAGTGTTAGCATCTGTTACGTGTTTTCTAATAGACACACATGTCGTTAGTGTCTTTTTAGCAAACGAGCGACACTATAACTCGATGTGGTGTATTGCTGCATATATGAGGCCCCGTTCACTTAACGCTCGCAAGTTAATTATTAAATATATTTTTCGTATAAATATATTTATGGTACATAATTATTAAAAAAAAATCAAATAACTGGAATATATTTTTATAGAGGTTCTCTATATAGTTCGAATTAAAGCTTACTCAAGAGTTTTAGCAACTTGGAACCGAGCTCGTCAAAATATTGTAGACGTACTATTTATCCCGTACACATGCATATCATGTTATCTGGGGACGTGCTTAATTTTTAAATACTTCGTCAGCGTAGGCTATAATGCTATGTAATTGAGAATATCACATTACGCTGGTACGACCGGTATTTATGATAATAAATGGAAAGAGTCGCGAGAGCAAAATACCAAAGCCAAAATAATTAAGAATTTAACGAACGCATACACGTCTACATATACACACACACACACACACATACACACACACACACACACACACACACACACACACACACACACACACACACACACATATATATATATATATATGTAGTTATACACAAAATGAATATGTGGAAATTTGCCAAATGGTAATTATTCCAAGTATTATTATTATTATAGAAAAATAGGTAAGAAGAAAAAAAGTTTACACTAATGAACCTTGAGTTACTTACTTGTTAAAAGTTTATTTATTATTATTAGTAGTAGACTTGTCCTTGAAATTATATAGTTATATAAATGTGTATATTGTTAAAATATTCGTCCAAGAAATATAATCCTTTTATTTTTGCTGGTCCTTATAATAACTGTTATCCTTGTAACAAATAATTGTGCTGGAATTGGTCTGAACGTACGCTGTATACGTATATATTGCAACGATTACCGAAAATCGTTCGAT